ACAGTTAAACTTATATTTATCATCATATTTATGATCAAATAAAATGTGTAACACGAAGAACATAATTCGTCACCCCTGATGAAATTGAAACAATACAAGTCACATTATCACACACACAGGAAAAAAGTTGATGTTTCATCCTTCAAACATCAAGAAGCATTCAGAAAAACCTCAATCTTTTTATCTAAAAAAACAACAATTCAGAAAAAATTATATTTTGGCAGCCCAATCAGAACTCCCATTCCCACCAAGTCTAACGGCTACAAAATATACAATAGAAATTTAAAACGGAGCTCACTAAAAAGATCTAATTCCTTGTTGCTTGTACAGACTGAGATGTGGCAATCATCTGGGCAGTAATACTCGCGTACTGAACTGCCGTGTGTTGTAGCGTATATTGGTCTCGCAGGCCATATTCTGAAAAGTTTGGCTCTATGTGGACAAAATGACCTGGCAACGACCTTTTTGATAGAGCCTCCTGCCAGAGATCAAAGAATTCACCCATGATTTGATGCGATTTATCCCATGATGAAATTGGTAGATACTCCATCTGCAACAAAGACACACCGAGCCTTCAAATAGTAGTAATTCACTTGATGTATTTGAATGTAGAAGAAAAGAAATCTCATAGAACAAGAAAAAATGACAAGATATAGTTATACATTTTAACTGAACCTAAGTGTTTCTACCATTATTGGTGAAGACTACTTGAACAAGAGCAAGTTTTTATCCATGTAATGGATGAAACTGGAAACAATATTTAGTTTTCATCAGTATTCATACGAGAGTGAATAGTGCCCACGGTAGTGCTGTATAATAACCATAATTAGTTTACTGTACCTTCAAAGTGTCCATCTTAGAATGTTATCAACCAATAGAAAAAGTCAAACAAAGAACACCTCGTATTAATTTCCATGCATCTGCAGTTTTTTTATAACAAACAGAAAGCACAATTACTCGTTACATGTGCAGAGATGTCCAGAGAACACATATTATTTTATAATCTTAAGCTGCAGGATCTGTTTATAATTGCATAAATCCACGCTTTTCAGACCTGTTTGGCAAGTAGGCCAGTCTAATATGTCTATAAAGTACACCATCCAGCCATACATTTCTCAGTTCAAACAAATGGTGAAGGCCTAGTTTGGACTGGTCTTCACTCCTCACTCAAGACAGAAAAGATTCATTTCAACTGCTAGTTTATATAAAATACAACTCACCGAAATTTCAAACCAGTGTTAATACTTAATGTACATGGCATTGTACTACTATATGGTCTTTTCAAGCATGTTATAAATCCCTTTTTCATCATTTATGGTCTAAATAGGTTCTTCAAAGGAAACAAAGTCCCTTATATTTCTCACATATGCCAATGACAGTGTAAGCATTACACCTGAACATAACATCATGTGTCTACACACTGACAATAATAATAACCTCATATTGCTCCCATTTATACTGATGTTTCTATTGAGGCCAAGTTTATCACCTTCATTAAGTTCTTAAATCAAATTAGATACTCATGATTTGGGAATATGTAGTTACAAATTCTAGTATTTTACAATCTTGAAATTTGTTTACACTAGACTAGATCAAACACTTTCATTTGATAATCCAAGTTCAAGCATCCAACTACAAGTGATTCAATAGTTAACTACTTGACGGTTCCGACCGGAAACTACTATAACAGAAACACGGTCAATAGTTTGCACATAACTCCATACAAGCATTCTGTTTTCTATCCATTTGATTAGGGAAATGGCACATAAAAGCAAGTAAAGTACAAATTCAAAATTCAGAGAACTAAAAGTTCCGAGTTACCTCCATAACTATGCCCCTCAAACTTTCCGAATGCATTGGAACCACCTTTCCCACTCGCAACTGAAAGTCGCCAAGTTGGTACAGAGTACCCTACACATAGAGTAAAACATTCCAATAAATAAGGGCAAAAACGTGATTCCACACTGTATGCTCCTCAGCCTTTCATTATTTAGCACAAAAAGGAAAAACGAATAGATGTAATAGTAAATGCTGAATATCAGATCAAAAATATCTTGACTGGGGAAAAAAGAGGGAAATAAGAAATCAACATATGCAACAACCACAAACCTCAAAATTAAGGGCGACCCTTGTTTTATAAGATTGCAGTTTCTCCATTATCATCTGAATATTAGACTCGGCCTCAACCACGAGGCGCTGCCCCCTAATTACCAAGAAATATTTACCAGGCTGCTCCGCAAGCGAAATCCCCATAAAATCGCGAGGGAATTCATTACCAATGGCTTGTTCTTACCATAAACAGAAAACAACAACAAAAAATTTAGGGTTTTTTTTTTCATTCCAATACAGATGCTACCAAATTGTCTCCGCAATTACAATTGACATACTCGATCGAATCCATGTAGGTAAATCATTTTTTCAAAGCAGAAAGCGTACAAGACCCAGAGTAAGAGATACCTCTGACCATGGCCTTGTAGAAGCTAAGAGTTGATTTCCAGCGCCCTTCCTTGACGCCATTGATGCTCTCGGCGCACTGGGACACTTCCGTGAGTATTTGGGTGTTCACTGTCGTGCCGGGATTTGGCTGCCAGTGCAAAATCCTGCATCCACCAAACACGCCGTTACGCCATTCGCACCGCACAGTTACTCCGACAGTAAAAGCTTAAAATTAAAGTAGGTCAAAAAAATCTCGATTGGGAAGTTACAGTTTTCAGAAGAAACAAAAAAAAGGAAGAAAATTTGGGGTTTCTAGTTTCTGTGTTAACCATTTGATGGGCATTGGTTGGCGGCTTCTTGGAGCTTGCACAGGAAGCGTATGAGAGATCAATTTCCTCTCGAGTTCCAGTAAACGTGAAAAGATTAGGAGATGGGAGTGGAAATTGAACATAGACCACTGTAACTTAACGAAAAATGCCATGTTCCAAGCATAGTTTTTATTAAAATATTTGTTAAATACTATTTTATTTACTAAAATATGTAAGTATTTATTAAAATATTAACTATAATGGAAGAAAATTTTTAATTTATTATCTAAGCCGTAGAAAATAAATTGTCATAGGAAATTTTTAAAGAAAATTTGTTAAAATAAATTTTTTAAAATATTATTTATTTTAAAATTTGTTAAAATATTATCTTAATTTTTTAAAATATTATTTTTTTAAAATTTGTTAAAATATTATTTTAAAATAAATTTTTTAAAATAAATTTGTTAAAATAAATTTTTAAAGAAAATTTGTTAAAATAAATTTTTTAAGGAAAAATTGTCATAGAAAATTTTTAAAGAAAATTTTTTAATTTATTATCTAAGCCGTAGAAAATAATTTATTATCTAAGCCGTAGAAAATAAATTGTCTAATCATTTATCACATATTAACTAGTACGTAGCCCGTGCGATGCACTTGACAAAAGTATTAAATGAATCATTTCCATAGAGCTTGTCCGTTAAGTAGCCGTGCGATTCACGAAAGATATTAAACGAGTGGACCATAGGGCTTGTCCGTTCAGACCTAAAAAATAATAGAGTTTGATCATATACTTTTAACATCTTTTCATCAACGTCATTTTTTTTTTTTGTTGGAACATTAAACCTGAGTTTGGTAGCGCGTAAATTAACTAATATATTATCTCCTCACATGTTTATAATAATATAAATTTGATTTCATTATATATATTTATTCCTTGATATAAGAAAAATAACAATTTTACGTAATCTTGTTCCTCGTATAATATCCATATTATTTTATTATAAAATTTATTGTAATATAATGTCATTATTATTATTTATACAAGTTATAGATGTAGTCTTCTTCTTCTTTTTGTTTTATGCAATTAAAATATTTAATGTATGTTCATAATATTTATTAATGTAAATAATTTAAATTTTGTAAATAAATTTAAAGTAAAACATTCTGTACAAACATTTTACAAAATATACTCAAATGTTTTTTTAGAATTTAATTTTTTAAACATCTTCGAAATTCTATGCAATTATTCAACATCCTTGATATAAATTCGAAATCATAATTAAATTCTATGCAATTATTAATTTCATCCGATGTTATGGGAAACAAATAATTCGGAAATGTAACAAATGATAAGGAATTTCAAAATTAAATTTTCAATGAGACATGTTTTTACTTAAATTCTATGCAATTATTATTTTGTCCGATTTTATAACAAACAACTCATTAAGAATTTTAATGTAATAAAATGATAAGAAATTTTAATATTTAAATTTAAATTTGAAATGAGACATGTTTTTACTTGAAGTCTATCTGTCCGATTTTATTGCAAAACACATCAATTAAAGATGAATTAATGCAAATCAGTTTTTTAGCAATAAAATAATAATACAATTGAAAAAATTGATGGAAATAAAATGCATTAATTGTCACTTGACTTTACTAGCTACTAATTTTAGTAAATAGGATGGCTCTTTATAAAGTGTATTTTAATTTTAATAAACTATTTTATTTTTACTACCAGTATAAGGGCTGTATTTTTAGTCAGATGGGCCTGGGACTCCACACTCATTAGGCCCATTGCATATTCTAGAAAACTACGTGGGTCATGTCCAGATAATAATCTCATTTAGAGTGGCCTTTTACTTTTTAGTCTTATTCTGCTAAACGCAAAGCAATGTGGTTCGCTTTCAATTTCCTCTATCCTGCGTGAATCGTAAGCTTGTTCTAGTTTAACTACAATTCCAGGTAAATAGGTACGCCCATCATGTTATTGGCTTGACAGATTTGGTTTGTTTCGTTAGTGTTTCACGAAGTTTGTGGATTGTGCTCGAGACATGTTTGATTAAATGCCTGTGAAGAAGTTTGTAGGTTGTGCTCGAGATATGTTTGATTAAATGCCTGTGAAGAGCTAATCTCTTAATATTGATACTGTAATTTGGGGAAATATTGTGGATTGTGCTCGAGATATGTTTGCCATCCCTTGATTTTAGGTTACATTACAAAAGATGAACAACACTGGCCAAAACTCACAAACAGTATCAATGAAAACGGCCTGATTTTGTGAAACAATATATATATATATATATATATTTAATATTATGTATATTTGTTTCAGCTGCGTTTCTATTACAATTCTGGCTTGGAGGACGTAATTTTTATGCAATTACAGATCTGTTGCGCTTCGCCATATTTGTTGAGATTTTGACTTTTTCTTGGCATGTGTTTGTTAGAATTTGATGCTGATTTGATTCATCTGCAAATTATTGGCGTTTTTTTACAAGTATTTAAGCTGAGCTGGGCCTATTTTGAGCCTTTTTTTTTATTATGATGGAATATCACGTCAGTTCTTCGTTCGGTAGGGCTTTTTCTTGGTGCTTGTTTTTTATTACTGCAGTAACTTACCAGATTTAGCTGCATTTGTTGTAAATATTTGGTTGAGGGTCTTAATTCTTATGTTAAATTCGCATTGTATGTGGGATTTACTTTTGCTATTGAGCATTTCTTGAATTTTTTAGAATAACATGTCGTGTTGATACCTCTGAGTTTTAGCTCCTATTTTTTTTTTGAAGTCTAGCATTATGAATGTGTCTAATAGGTTATTCGTAATTTCTATTCAACAACAACAACAACATACCCAGTATATTCCCAACAGGTTGGGGTCTGGGGGGTCAGTTGTACGCAGACCTTACCCTTGTAATTATACAAGGAGGCTGTTTCCGTAGCGACCCAAGGTGCATTGCGCCGTTTGATATATTTTTTTTCTAGAAACTTCACTAATAGAAGAAGCACTAGAATTTAATTGAGCCATTTTGATCTAGTCCATAAAAGAAAATGAAAAGCTCTTTCTGGATGTTCATTGATGGTGATTGGATCTTTGTAGAGATGGCAGATTGTTATTTTCCTGTTCTGTTTAAAGTCCTCTGTGGTTTTGATTGCTTCAAATTTACTCTGCAAATCCTAAAGCCAGTAATTGGAGATGAATTTTGATTGTGCATAAAATGAACCACTTCAAAATTAGATATGGTTATTCGAAGAACATTGGGATATTGATTGTATGGATGATTACCTTATTGGTTTAGTGAAGGACTTATTAATGAAAATCCTCTCTTACCTTTTTTATCAGCCAATGGCATCTTCTGGAGACTCCTGGGTAAGGGAATATAATGAAGCAGTCAGACTTTCTGATGACATCACGAACATGATATCTGAAAGGAACTCGCTGCCAGCATCTGGGCCAGAAGCCCAACGGCATGCATCTTCTATTCGGAGGAAAATAACCATACTGGGAACTAGACTGGACAGCCTACAATCTCTTTTATCAAAGCTTCCTGGCAAGCAATCTTTGTGAGCTATCCAACATCTCTCCTGTAAAGATTAAACATGCTATTAGATTGGAATGATAAACTAGTTGTCATATTTCCTCATTTGTCCATTATTGCGTTTTACATTGGTTAGATATGCTTTAGACCCTAATCACTTCAATATCTGCCTCAATTACTTTCCTTTATGCCATTCGCACCTGAAGTTAGTCTTGTTGAACACAAAGTTTGGAGGAAGAATTGATATATCTGAGATACTGAATGGAAATAAGATAACAATGTAATAGTTGAAGTTGATGTGACACGGAAGTAGTAAAATAGTGTTTTGTTGTTAGAATAATAGTTAGTTTATTAGTAATGATTGGATTTGATTTGAAGTTGTGTTGATGAGATTGAGACAGAAAATTATTGAGGAATGTGGAGTAATGATTAATTTTTTCAAGTTGTGTTGATGAGGTTGAGGAGAAAAAGGTGAGAATGAATGACTAGTGTGCCTTTTCAGTTTTTTTTTTTTTGTATCCAATCATGACTTCAACGAAAAAATTTAGCTAATGATATAAAACTGAAAATTTCTTATATCCAGTAGCTGCTGCAAGCTCTCAATTGTTCATTTATGCTTTGTTTGCCCATTTTTAGATCTCACAAGTACTCTTCTTCATTTTGATGTTTCCGCTTGTAGATATTGAAAATCACTAATTGACAACCTTGCTGAGCTCTCTTCTCAAATTTCATATTTTATATCTTTATAAGTAAATGGACATCCTTTCAGTAAAATGTTTGATTGAGTGAACCTTTGTTTGTTGCTTGTCGAGCTAAATTCCTTGTGCTCTCTTTTATACCTGCTCCATTCCATTTACAGGTCAGAGAAAGAAATGAATCGTCGTAGAGACATGGTTTCTAATTTGAGATCAAAAGTGAACCAGATGGCTTCCACTTTGAACATGTCAAATTTTGCGAATAGGGACAGTTTACTTGGCCCTGAGATAAAGCCTGTTGATGCAATGAGCAGAATTAGTGGCCTTGACAACCATGGTGTTGTTGGTCTCCAAAGACAAGTCATGAAAGGCTAGTTGCTGGGAGACAACTCTTGACTTCATTTGATTTTTTTTTTTTTTCATATTTATTATTTTTGACAATTTTCAGTTTCTTTTTCCCACTTTTTGCTACAATTCCCTGCAGAACAAGATGAGGGTCTTGAGAAACTGGAGGAAACAGTGATAAGCACCAAACACATTGCACTGGCAGTAAATGAAGAGCTTGATTTACATACAAGATTAATTGTGGGTTTGCCTTTTTTTCTTTTCTTTCATATTTTTGTATGCTCTGTAATCTGATAATGTCTATTCTCAATAGTGTTCTGTAAATCCTTAGATGCATTGATAATGTAGCTTTTTATCTGCCTATGTGCAGGATAATCTAGATGAACATGTCGAGGTCACAGACTCCAGATTGCAGGTGACTGTTGCTTTTGATAAAGTTTTCAAAGGATAGTATATTGCATTTGAGTTCTGCTTTTTGGTATAATCTTTTAATCACTGTAGATTTTACAAGATGATAACATTCAGCTTTGAGGGTGCCGAAACCATGCCATGCTTTTAGAAGAAGCAATCCTATAGAAACTAAAACAGTTGGAAGTCATGAGTTAGATATGCTTGAATAGATGCTAAAAGCTGAAAGTATGAGATGAAGGAGTTTATTTATTTTTCAAAATCTGGATAAAAAGGAAAAAGAACATGCTGCAATTATATGACTATGCGGAAGGGAAACAACAGTTTTGGGTTATGATAGACGTCTTTAGATAAGAATCTTGGAGATAAACTTCGATTTTTTATTTTTTGTAAAGCACTTCACTATAGTTAGAAGCTTTGCATTTGTATCGTTGATTATGTGTAAATAATAAGAGAGGGTGTGCAAATTTATTAAAAAACTTATATTTCTAGCTAAAAGCTGAGAAGCACCACTACCCAGTGTCATATCTTTGCAAATACTCTTCCCCCATAAGAAAATTAATTATTAAATCAAGAACTATAGACGGTTCTCTGTTTGAAGAACCCAAATCCCGAAATGAACTACTGTACTTTGGAACGTAGAACACACTTGTTTAATGTGTTTCTTACCAATGTATCGAGAAGGATATCTTGTGAAAGTCGACCGAATAATTCAGCACCTGTTTATTGGGAATTTTTCCAAAATTGATTGTTAATGTTTGTTGTTTTGTCTAATCGAGCAGCGAGTACAGAGGAGGCTTGCAATATTGAACAAGAGGACTAAGGGTGGCTGCTCCTGCTTGTGCCTCCTCCTATCTGTCATAGGGATTGTGGTTTTGGTTGCCATCATATATTTGTTGGTCAAATATTTGTAATTTAAGAAAGGTTAAGTTCAAACTTCCTCGTGTGCTTTTGTTTTTATGGATTTATATAATTATGTTGGTATAAAGAAGAGCTAAAGGCAGGACAGGTAATGCCGTGTATTTGCTTTCACAAGGACTGATGGATTTCCAGATTGTTTGTCATGTATATAATTACATGATTTGGTTTGGTGCAAAATTGTACTTAATATTATTAGAATCTTTTCTGCCTTGAAGAGAACTTATGTTGATGGTTGACGATATTGGTATACCTATGTTAACTCGTTTTATTTTTTATTCGGATTTTATGTCAAATGTAAGTCATTTTATGGATTAGTCTTGATTTAGTCATGTAAAAGTGGATATAGGCTCACGCGTATTTGAAATCCAAAGAGACTAGTGTCTCTGCTGGCTTTCTTTTGGATGTACGAAAACTGTGTGGAAGAACCGCTGTGAATTGTACATGGGCTATTGCTCATTGTACAGATTACACTTTAAAATGCTCTCAAAAGAAATAAGAAAAGTAATGGTGATGATAACAATAAAATCAAAACTAAAACGTGCATTTGGTGGATAAAGAAAAAGGGAGTTGAACAGGACTCAACAATCGTGCCAACATAATGATTCATGTAATTATAGGGCAAGCAAATAAAAATTAACACACTTAGTTGTCATAATCATTTATTACACTGTGTTTGGCGACTATAACTTGAAACAATTAGTATTAATTATTAATTATTAATTATTATTACAAACAACAAATCTAAAACTACTTGTATGATACCAAATGTAGACAAGAATTTTGAGTTGGCACAATTAGTGAAGCTCAATCGAATTATACTATGTTTTGTATCACATAAGAATGTTTTGTTCTTGCATGTAATTAGTTCCCAACGTGTATGTAAATCTTGCTATATTCCTCCAAAAACTCTCATTCCAAAAACTCTCATTCTTCAATTTCATTTGAGATTTTTTCACAAATTAAAAAATTCAATCTTGCTCGATAAGGTCAATGCTCGACTCGGCTCAGCTCGTTTGCAGCCCTAGCTGTGACCCACTAACAGCAGCCCCTACAGTAACATTAGATTAAATTAAACAGTTAGCTTTTAACATTAGATTAAATTAAATTTAAGGGTCCAAAATTAAGAACAAATAAATTGTTGCTCCCATCTATACATCCTTGTATTCAATTTTTATTTTATTTTTTTAACGGAAAATAGAGAATGAGTTAGGTCGTGTTTGTTAAATGATTCATTCAAACCAAATTAATTTTAATTAGAATCTAACTCAACTTTAAACTAAACCCCACTATTCTCAACATTGTCAATATAATTAAATAATAGCAATCAATTATTAAATAATAACAACCAATCATTTTTACACATCCTATCAACTTTAATTCACTATTCATTCACTCACATAATTTTAACTAACCATCACATCATATCATCTCCCTCTTACTTTTACATCAAACTAATTTTAATTGTTTTATTTTAAATATTATTTTAATATAAACTCAAAATCCCACTAACAATTAACTATATCACTTTTTCTAAATTAACCCTAGTTAACTCAAAAAATTCACTTTGAGTTAGTTCACTCAAATTATTTCTTTAACAAACACACCCTAGTGAATTAGATCCAATCATGACCGAGTCATATGTTAAGATCCCATAGGAAAATGGGTCATGCCGTTGCCGCTGCAATTGATTTGGCACATGATGCATGTTGTCGGACTCACCCCAAAAGCAACACATCACTTGAGGATTAGAGAAGCAGTGAGTTGAGATAAACTTGGATGCTTATTAGAAGATCAAAAGACTTATTTGCGCTCAAAAAGAGAAAAAAGCATGGTATATGATGAATTGAGGCCAATAATACGATACTTTGAACAAAGAGAAAAAAAGACCCTTCATTTTTTTTACTCGATGCAATTCGACAGTGACAAACTAGTCACTAATATATTTTAGGTTTATTCGGAAATTATTGTTGATTATGGTGATTTTTGCAATGTAATTACATTTGACACGAATTATGGCACAAACAAAGAATTGAGACCCTTAGGTGTGTTCACGGGTTATAATCATCACAGGCAAATGGTCATTTTCAGAGGTGCACTTTTGTATGATGAGACCACTGATTCGTTTGCTTGGCTTTTCAAAACTTTCTTGAATGCTCGTAGAGTTAAAGAGCCTCAAACTATTTTTACGGATCAGGATACAACTATGGAAAATGTTTTGGCAAAAGTATAGAAAAATACACGACATGGACTTTGCACGTGGCACTTGGAATCAAAAGGGGATCAAATATTTGGGTTGGTGTATGAAAGACAATTCTTCCTTCTTGACGGAGTTTGAGAGGTGTGTGTTTGAATATTTAGAAGAGGATGAATTTGAAAGAGAATTGAAGAAACTACTTGATAATTATGATTTGCATGATAATGAATTGCTATCGCATACATATGGTCTGAAGGAAAAATGGGTCAAATGTTACATGAAGTATGCATTTACCTTAAGAATAAGAAGCACTCAACTGAGTGAGAGTTTGAATAGTGATTTGAAATCCTATTTAAAATGTGATATGAATATATTTTATTTTTCCACACAGTTTTATAAGATTATCGATGAATAAAGAGAGCAGAAGCTTAAAGCCGACTTTGATGCGAGACAGAAGACACCTCTACTAAAATCAAATAATTCCTTATTGTTGATGCATGTGTCACAATTGTACACTCCTGAGATTTTTACATTCTTTTAGACTGAACTTCGTGTTGCTTTAAAGTATTGATAAAAGAAAAAGATGAGACTCAACATTCGCTTAAATATGTGGTCCGCCTTCATGGTTTAAGAGAAAATGAGATGAAAGTACTCTTTGATCCTATAAAAGATTGGGTCGTCTGTAGTTGTAGAAGGTTCGAAATCACGGGAATATTGTTTTGTCATATCCTACAAGTATTATTGTTCAAGATTTAATGTGCATTCCACAAAAGTACATATTGAAAAGGTGGACAAAAGGCGTGAAAAGTGCTCAAAGCTTGAACACAAAAAAATTTCATGGTGCAGAAGATGTTAGAGAATGGGTTTAAAGACTTCATGAATCTCAACTCTTAAGGATGACACTTCAAGATTTCGCCCATGAAGCGTTACGGAGTTGTATGGAGAAAATGGTGTAGGAGTGTAATAAATAAGTTTTTGCTTTTGCAACAAAGAATGAGATATCAAATGAAGAAGTTCATTCATTCAACGTAGATGGTAGAATTGAAAATATTAAAGGCTTGAAAAAAAAGAGCTGAAAAGGGGGAACAAAGCAGCCAAAGGGTTGGATTGAAAAACATGTTGGGAAGTTCAAAAAATCAAAATCATTAAAAAAGGTATTCGTTATATTTTATAAGTTTAATAAATTGCATTGTTACTTTCTAACGATATTTAATTTTATTTTATTTTTTAGATTTCCCTGTTGTCATGAAGACTTGTCAGTAAGTAGCTAATTCATAAGAAAACTTAAATTTTAGAGCAGTGGTGCACCATCAACAAGAAAATGTGAATGATGATGTTTTATCTCACTTGTCGGTATCTCAAACGGTCCATTTATCTCAAAACTAGAATGGTACAGTTTTTTAAATAAAAATAAAATACTAATCACACTATTTTTGTTATTGATACTAGTACGAATCCCGTGCGATGCACGGGTAAGAAATATTTATTAATATTTATTGATTAAATTTTTTATTAAATAATATTAATAAATTTAAAATATAAAATCAATATGTGGTACACCCCCTCCCTTTATTAATATATTTCAAATGTTATATGAAATATAATTTGTGCAAAATTACATACACATGTATATTGAAATTAGTACACAACTCACATAGTGGACATAATTGGTAATAAATTATATTATTTTTATTTCAAAATAAATGTCAATTTGAAAAAAAATCTTGGATACTAAAATAAATTTAAGATGTACAAATCTTGTGATTGAATGATTAATATTTTCAAAATTCATGTAAAACTTAGACGATATAAATAGTCATGTACAAATTCGAATACAAAAGAGACAACTATAGAACATAAATTGTATTTTATCTATCTTATTCATATATATATATAGAAATAGAGTTATAATTTATATTAACCATGGCCTAAAATTACACATTTTTATTATTTTAGAATAATTTTATAGTTCACTTTAAAATTACAGTTATATTTGGATAGATTTTGTTAATAGTATGTAGCAATTAAGCAGATTTATTTTCTATTATCTCCTTTATATATATTTTCAGAACGTGTTGAGCCTAAGTGATAAGTTCACACGCTTCAGATGTTGACACGTCAAAATTATGTGCTTCGTAATTTGGTTTGTATAAATACTACTGCTTTAAAATCATGTTTGGTACTTGACATAAATAGTTTATTTAGAATTTTGATAATTATGCATTTATATTTGTCACTTTTTCTCTTTCTCAAAATCAAATCTTAGCATAGGAAACTCATATTATTTATTCTCATTTATTAAATACCATAATTTATTTTTATCATACTTTAAAAGATAATAACTTTTTTATATGTAGTCCCTGAATCATCTAATTAGGACTTTTGGAGATTTATTCCTAGTGCGTAACCCGTGCGATGCACGGAGGGGTACATACCTTAGAACCATTTTTAAAACTTTATTTTAAAAATAATATCCAGATTTAACAGCTCATTAAGGAAAAATAATAATAATACAAATAATAAAAAATTATATATTAATAAAAACTTATATGTAAATAACATTTTTTGTTTGATTTGGTGGCAAGTCATGTTCACCACATATTAGAATCTTCAAACCCTTTTTGTTGGTGACTCGTGAGACAAATTTTTAACCCTTTTTGGTCAAACATACAGATATTTTTTATTAGTAATATAAATATCAAATCAATTTATAATGTTTAACCCTTTTTAATAAATTTTAACATTATCTAATCTATACTTATATGTTTGAAATAATCGGGATTTTTCAAGAGCTCTCTCGCCCCTTTTCTCTCGCCCCTTTTCTCTCGCCATTTCAATCCTTCTCGCAGCTCCGATCTCGCCGGTTTGAGCCTCCTTTAGCAATCGACCGGGTTCGCCGGTAGATGGCACTCAAGCGGCTCACCCAATTTTGGGCTAAGGTGCTCGGATCCGGTGTCTCAAGCCAATGGAGCAGGCTAGGGTTTCATCTCAGTTCGGCTCGATGGACGACGGCTGTCCTGCGGCGGTGGGGTTCGGTGAGAGCGTTAGCGGTCCTTGAATGGGGCATGGCTGCTCATCCCAACTCAGGTAAGGGCGATTTCTCTCTTTTTTCTGGCCGGGCCTGGTGGTCGCCGGTCTTAACTATC